TTATTATTATTATTATTATTATTATTATTATTATTATTATTATTATTCTTTTTTTGTGTTACAGAATTTGGTCTTGTGACATTTTTGCTCATTGTCTCCCCCTTGTGGCGCAGTGGGAGATAACACAGCCCAAATTTGTGGGGTTTGAAAAAGACACTATGAGTGTCCACCAAAACATTTGAGCAAAAATATGATCTTACGTCAATAGATGTGATTTCAGAAATAAAAAAACACTCACAGAAATAAAAAAACAAGCCACAAAATTGTATCCAAGTTTTTCCTTAAGCACATTTACATTTTTGGGGGTCAGTCAGTTTGAATTTTTTTTTTTTTTGTACATTTTCGCAGCAAACTCCCAAAATTTTGGGGTGAAATTAGCTAAAATGTACAATAGTTTGAAACAGGATTGAGATGTGAAATGAGGCTCCATCTGTAAAGTGGGGATGACAGGAAGGTCTATTATGAGCTTTGGATGTCTGGTTTTGAGTTTTTTTTTGACCGTTTCAGGCCAAAAGATGAGTCAGAGGAGCTCAGATTTAATGTTTACACACATCTACTGTTACCCAAACCAGCTGACAGTGGACATTAGTTTTAGAAAAAGTCTTCCAGCCATGCATTTCTCTTTTCTTTTTGAAATCCCAACAGCCTTGATACCATTTTATCTGTTCCTCTACTTGCTTGAGTGAGTGAATAAGTAGTTGTTTTGCTATTTGTCGCTTTGCACTTCCCTCCTGAAACCATTTTATCCATTAAGCTGTCAAAGAGGAAAGGTCACTCTGCTTTGCAGCCACAGAAAATAACTTTTTTTGTGACACCTACAGGATGAAGTTGAGGATTTTGTGGTTTTAAAACTGATGTTAGGACCCCCAGCTTACTGTGTGGTCATCTGTTTGGTCTGAATCCATCTCTGGTTGGGCCAGTTGGCAGGACGCCTCTCTTAGATGACTTCTTTTCTGACTCAGCACCTTCTTCAGCTCTGCATGGAGCTTCTCCTTCTGCACCTGCAGACAAAGAGCACTTTGAAAGGGCGTCTTCTATACAGGAGGACTAAATTAGGCCAGGAAAACAAGAAAGTCCAAAGAAATTGTCAAAGGTCTGCTGAAGGTATTTAGCAGAGTTTTATATCTAAAAAAATAAGCTTACAACTGAGAGAGAATGTTCAAGCACGAACTCTGTTAGAGTCTGTGCTCAATAAACTGAGAGAAAAAACTATTTAAATCCATTCAAGTGTACAAACAGAGAAGGTCGGCCTGTAGAAAAGAGGGCAGAAGTGTAACCAGGTGTTAGCATTTGTCTTGAATAAAGCTCTGAAGGTGGAGAAGGGCACTCCAGTTCTGATGGCATTTCTAAGATCGCTCCGTTATCAGGCCAAGAAATTGAACCCATTTTGGCCGAAACAATCGATGAGGGCAGAATCTGACAGTGTAATTCTCTTATTTCTTATACAACATAATGTGTAATTTCACAAGCTATAACATAATGTTTGTTTAAAATCTAGCATAAGACGTGTATTTGCATACAAATGATTAATCTTTTGCTCTAAACCATTGAATAAAACCATTGGATTCACTTTATGAAGCACACATTAATTTGGCTCTGAGCCACTCGGTGTGTGAGATGTCTTTTTTATGTCCATTTTATGTCCATTTATGTCCATTTTATGTCCATTTGGCAGAAACAAAACACTAAAAACGGTTCAATTTTCAAGTTCAAGTTGTTGACTATTCGCAAATATTTTTTCATTTGCTATTTTCAAGTCATTAGTTAATCTATTTTTGGTAAAAATCAAAGCAGCTGGGCGTGGAGCAGAATTTCTAGCCTTGTTATGACTTAAGATTTCTATAAAATCTGCTCCAAACGCTGCATTGTTTGTTTCCATCTGAACACCAGGGTCTTAACCCCCCCCTCTGAAAGCTATGGGGGTGTCTATAACCACACCCCACCACAGTCAGACTTGTTTTGTGGAGCAAAACAACGACAGCGGGCAGCTTTGGCTCGCCGTTTGTGCTGAGCTGGGAGAACCGGCGGGGGACAAAGCCACGACCGAATAACACCTGCATGTCAGAAACACTCCGGCTTTTACCGCCACGTCAGCTCACCCTGGTCACAAACTTTTGGAAACCCTCCCCTCTGGCAGAAGGTTGAGGACCATCAGGACCAAAACCTCACGCCATAAAGACAGTTTTTATCCGGCAGCAACTGGCCTCATCAACGAGGCCAGTGACCCCCACCTATTCTTCTCTCACCCCCCTCTACTTTATAATATTCTATATTTTTATTTCTACATTGTATGTCCTTTCTTGTTTCTCATAGAAGTGTTGTGCACCAAACACCAAAGCAAATTCCTTGTAGGTGAAAAACCGACTTGGCAATAAACCCACTTCTGATTCTGAATGAGGGGGGTGTAACAAGTTAGTTTGGATGGAATAAAGCATATCCCTATAAAGCCTGATCCAAAAAAATTAGGATATTAGGGATATTATATTGGATTTTTTTTAGTCTGAGGTCTTTCTTTGGCCCCTCAACAATATGTGAAGAAAAAAACAAAGGATTTTGATCAAATTAGCGTGCAATAAGGCCAAAATGTATTTTGGTGTAGTCTTCTACTGGCTCTTATCAGGTATATCTGAATGTGTACAACAGGGGTTTGAGCAAAGCTTTTACCACTGAATGATGCAAAAAGTCTAAGATCCAAAAGACTTCAGAAACCGTATGAATCAAACATGATACATTTGGCATTATAGGGATATTTAGGGCAGAATATATCCAACCACAGTAGAAACTCTACATAAAAGTTCAGTTTAGGCAGCTGGGCCTGAAGCTGGAACAGCTGGACCCGTCTCCTCCTTCCAGAGCACTTTTAGAAAAAAACACCCTCAGCTGACTAACACTTCAGAGATGAGACCCAAACCGCTCTGACAGGGAGTTACCGACCAATCAGAGCCCCCTAAGCACTATGAACCCCCCGGGTGACCTCCATGGCCCCCAGCAGGAGGTACAAGATCCCCCGTTGGTTTCCCCTAATTCTTTAGTTCCACCATATTAATCTGAGTACATTTTTATTTATTGTTTTGCTTTTTCTTTAACTTATTTTTTGTTGTTTTGCTGCTTCGTTTATTTATTGTTTTGGTTGTTTTGCTGCTTTTTCCACTTATTTTTTTATTGTTTTGCTGCTTTGACTTATTTTTTTGTTTTATTTTTGCAACTTCTTTTATTTATGTTTGGTAGTTTTTCTGCTTTTTCCACTTATTTTAATTGTTTTTCAACTTCTTCCACTTATTTTTGGTAGTTTTTCTGCTTTTCCCACTTATTTTTCCACTTATTTTTGGTTGTTTAGCTTCTAGCCACCATGAACCCCCCCCAGGTGACCTCCATGGCCCCCAGCAGGAGGAGGACCAGAGCCACTTTTGGTTTCCCACTAATTATTTAGTTCCACCTACAGTTTATTAACTCAGAGCTACAACATTAGTCAGAACTGAAGAAGCTTCTGGATCAGAGGCCAAACATCTAATAGAAAACTTCCCTCCAGCTACCTAGCTGAACTTTTCCAGCTTGACCAGGACCTGGATGACCGAGGATCTTCACAGACCAGTGTTCATTTTCCCCTGGGGGGACACTCACCGCTCTCTCCGGGGTCTCCTGCTCGTCCGGGGCTCCGCTGCAGAGAGGGCTGCGCTGCGGGGGGGCCGGGGGTCTGGAAGAGGGGGGCGACCGCCTCTTATCTTTCACCTGCCCCCCCCCCGAAAGGGGAGAAAGAAGCCCAGAGGGCCGGTTTAATTTAGTTAATTAATTAATTAATTTATTTGAATAGGGACAAAGCACATTAATGAGCATCAGTATAAAAACAAATGTAAATATGCGGGATTATAGCTGCAAAGCTAGTTTTCATCCGTAGTCCCTAGGCAGGCAAATGCATAAAAAAGAACATTTAATAAACAATATAAGCATCACAAGTAAATGTTTAGATTTTAGTGGTCACGTGACTGGTTTGCTTTCATCCAAAATTTAAGTTGAGCTCTAAAGCTGATCAGTGTGGGGATGTGCAGAGGAAGACTGTTCCAGATGTTAGAGGCTATCTCTGAGAGAGTGTTCTGACCAAAAGCTGTTCTTCTGCGAGGAACCTCACAGTCTCCTCTGGAGGAGGTTAAGCTGCATCTCTCTGTGTTCGACCCGTTAAGTGACCTAATGGGAATCCCTGTGTGCGTTTAGAGAAATCTGCGTTGGAATAAATGGATGAAATTTGAACAAACTGGTGGAGCTCCAGTAAAGCAAAGCTGGGCCACACTCCCGGAAAATGAAGCATCTAATTCTACTTTTAGGGGTCCCAGACTCGTCTTTGGATCCGTGACCTCTGACCCTTGCAGTTTGTCTCTTTAATGGGATCATAAATGTACCTTTCAGGGCCTCTAAGACTAGAAATAAGGGGCCTGGGGTCCAATTATTTGCGAATTAGGGTACATAGGTCGAGAAATTACCTCAGGAGACATAACAGTACTGTTTTGCCTCTATTTTTGACTTTGTAGGGGAATTTGATTCGGCCCCCGCTATTTCTGCCAATAAGACTAATTATTGATGTAATCATTTGGATTATACATTAAACTCTGGATTTTACAACTTTGGAAAGATTGTGGAAAAAACTTAAGTAGACAACTCATTTCCATAATAATAATAATACTAATAATAATAAATTTTATTTGGAGTAGCACAATGACCTAAAAGATTAGATGCCAACCTTTCTTCTGTTTTGGGATCTTTGTTTTTTTGTTTTAAGAAAGAGAAAAGAGCGTTCAAAAACAACAAAAAGACAAAATTAGCAGAAGTGGGAGTTCAGCAGGCCAGCAGCAGCTGTCTGTTAACAGGAAATGGCCGTTTTGTACCTTTAGAATCAGGGATCACTCCTCACATGTGCAGAAAAAAACCTTTAAAAAAAAAATAAAAAATAAAAAATGACATGATTGAATTGTTTGTGAGCTGTTTGTAGTCTTGGGATCCAAATCTGACACTTTGAAATGGCTCTGAGATTTTTAAACTAAATTATCTCCCTTATTTTAAATCTTTTGAATCCCTGAATGAGACGATTATCAGTTTGGGCCTGTTTTAAATGAAGAATCCATCCTCATTGAGATATCCACTTGTATTTACTGTTATCTGACAGTCGGGCTTATCGCTGGATTGGAGGGAGGTTGTTTTTCCTTCCTTCAGGAAGTATGTCACACCACAGCCTCCCCGTATCTCCTTCCCTCATTTGTTTCATGCACTGCTGCCCAGTTCATTTAGCAAAAACATTTTGTCCCGGCGCGTTAGCCGCCCGACCTCTGACCGCGTCCACGTCTTTTCCGGCGCGAAAATAGCCACGCCGTCCTCAAAACTGAAGGATTGCGCGCGTAAATACGCTAAATTTAAACAGCCGGGGAGGCCCTGTTGGCATCTCCAGAGCCAAAGGGGAGCGTACAGGTCACGGAGAACCACTCTAAGACTTCGATAGCCGTTAAATAATCAGCTCTCTCAGCTTTTCCGGTTGATCCTCGGCCTCCCAACACGGACTATATTTACCTATAATAATGATTTGCTACCCTTTTCACGGCAGATTAATAAAAAAAACAGCTTTCATATGCCAAGTTATTTGTGCAAAGAAGAAAAATATAAGATTCTCATCATCATGAGGGGTCAGAATTGGCTTCCATGGTTTCAGTTTGGATTTAATATGAGGGCAAACCAAGACAGAAAACCCCCAGAATGACCGAAATTGAATTAAATAGTCATCAGCACAACTCGTGCACATTTCGGTTGCCAAAGTTGTGACAATCAGCAGCACAGTTGATGTGAAAAGAGGCAGTTTGTGTGTCTGAGTGAGTGAAATGAGGGCTTACGGCTGGATCTCTGCTCGGGGTGAAAGCATGGCAGTCCTCCTGGTCTCTGTCAGAGTCTGAAACAGACACAAAGAAACCCCGTTTAGCAACAACTCAGGTTAGATTCAGTCAGGAGAATAAGGGAAGAACCCTATTTTGTAAATGTTTTACACATTAAGCAGATTAATTGAACACAAGTATGTTTAAATTCCAAAGAAAACAAACAAAATAAAAGCCCTGACTGGATCTTAGTGACTAACTTTTACAGGAACTGGAGCTTTAAATGTTTTAATGACATCAGCGGCTCACACAAGCTTCATGTACACGACATTAAAAATAAGAACCGAGAAAAAATGCGATTACTAGTAACCCCCCCGTGTGTGTGAGCAGCCACAGAAAGGTGTCACATGACAGTAATCAGTATTCCCGTCAGGCTTAGGCAGGCCGACTTAAAGGATCTAATGTAATGTCATGGCCGCCAGCTCCGAGCTCCTGGGAGGCTTTGAATTCTTTCCGCCGCCTCGTTCATTCCTGCTGGTCGACTACACGACCCTGAACCCCCCCCCCCCCCCCCCCCCC